GTCACAGTCAGTAGGTTTTTTCAATGATTCTTTGGGCTTGGGAATCTACACACAAAAAAAAATAAAAATAAGAAGAAAGGAGAAAAAGGAATGAGAGGTACTAGAACTGAGAACAAGAAATGCAAGTGATATTTAAATGCAAAACAACAACAAAAAAGTAACTATTATTTTAAGCAATTATTATTATGTACACCCATAAGGATACCCCATATGTTTATCCATTTGTAACAGTTAAATATGGTTTGATTCTCAGATTCAGACTTTTAAAAGAACCTGTGTCAGGTGTCTAATTTGCTTTAAAGTTTGATGGCTTCATTTTCACATATTGTAGGTAGGCAACTCTGGTAATCCACGCCTTAAGGTCTTTACAATAAAAACTAAAATACCCTCTTTTCTGATGTGCCAAACTAAGTGTGCTTGCTGGGCAGAATGGGAATAAAATACCATGCTGTTAGACCTTTTCCTGTCATTTTCATGCACAATTTCTGTAACAGACACATCATGCTATAAGCTAAATATTCATAAGCCATAATGCAAGCATTATCTTTTCTTCTTGAACAGCAGTGCAGATGGAGGAGCAATACAAAAGATGTACAAAAAAAGCTGAACTCTGATTTTATTGGTTTGGCTTCTTGAATTCATGCTAGTGTTCTTGTTGGTATAATGCACTTGTGAGCCTCTATTGGAATCTGCTTGTGTTATTAAGCAGCTTTTAAAAAAACAGAACATCTCAAAAAGATGTAGATACTTCTTTGTACAGAATCATTCGCTGGAACTGAGTTCCGAAAACCACTGCACACAGTATCTTGTAGGCTTGTTCTGGTATTTATGTAGGTAATAATGAAGATTTATTTCACTTGCATGAAACAGATATTTAGCTGGACTTCTGAGAAGGGATAGAAGTTTAAACTAAACTGTTTTGAACAAAATGGGAAGCAGAATGACAAATTGTTCCCAGGCTTAGTTGAGATTTACTTTCATCTTCCTACCAGACACTCATTCACTCTATTAAAAATTCTGCAGTTTCATGTCTTTTTTCTATTTTCTTGTTGTGGGCTTTGCTTTTGGGGTTTAGTTTTTTTGTGGGTGCTTTTGTTTGTTTGATTTTTATCTTCTTTGACTCTAATTCTTCTTAGTTTACCTCCTAACAAACATTCTTTTTTTTTGGCTATCACTGTTCTTTTCCAACTTTTCCTACTATTCCTAATGGACATCTCTGTCTCCTCTTCCTTCAGGTTTCTGCATTCTTAATCTATTATCTAATATTTGCTTTTTGAGATTCTGTCATCACTTTTCTGTTGCTCCTATTTGTTCTCCTTCACTTTTAAATATTGCTGCTTTCTCTCTTTTTCTAGATGTTTTCTCCAATGCTTTCTTCTTGAAATATTTTTTTTCAAGGTAATATTAAAATAGCTTTTTTGCATCTGTGTGGTTGGGACAAACTTTACCCTTTCTACTACTCAGTGTATCTCAGTATTCAGAAAAGGAAGATAGTTCAGCAGAAAAGAAACAGATATGAGGATATGAGGGAAGGAGATAGGAAATTGAATTACTGTAAAATGTATTTACTGGAAGGATTAATCATCTTCTTGTAACAAATACTGTAGGAATACACATGTAGTGACTACTTTTTAGTTCTGTATTGAATTATCTTATTTCCCATCCCCCTTCTCTTTTTTCTTGATCAAAACAATAGTATTTTTGTCAACAAATTATGTGACAATTATTATTTTCTACAATTTTTAAAAAAGATGTTTCCTTAGAAGATATATGACAAGACATATTCTTTAAAATAACTTCTAGATTCCTACTATGTCAATACGGCTGTGGTACACCGTGCTGCTTTTTTGACCTGAGCATCTTGAAGCTTGAATCATTTGGACATGGTAAGATCTAAGGAGCACTTTGTGTTTCGTTACAGATGTGACACCAAAGGAAAACTGCGGGAGATGAGTGAGGACAACTGACACGATCAATGTGATCAAACAAGCGAACCTATCTTTATTTACATTCAGCGTGTTTTATAACCTTGCGAGCAAATAGCCCGCCTCTTAGTGTGATTGGTTGTACCGAAGGAAGCAGCATCACTATAGTGTCCATTTCCTGTTCCGCATCCGGGGGTTGTCCACGCTCCCCGCCCACCCCCCTTCCCCAGCTCTGCAGCTCTTCCGCATTCCAGCATACCTCATCAGGAAAGGCTGGATTGTTCACATGTCCGTTAACCCTCAGATATCCTCCGACACATCCCCCTTCTTGTTTTTGAACAATCCAGACTTATTTTACAACCCGTTCAGTCATTTTCGTGAGCAAGTGTAACAGACAAAAATTATTAAGAGAATCATTGTGTTAGCTACTAAAACTAACAGAAGGCTTTTCATTCTGGTGGAAATGTCGAAGCCTGAATTCTGCTCTGGAATACACTAGCTATTACAAACATGCATGCTTCGCCTATTCCGGGTGTGCACATAAATCTTCCCTTACATGTGAAAAAAATTCCTTGCCAAACTCTATCATAACCCCACAGAAACACTTACTGACATATCATTTTGGTACAGCCTTGCAGAAGCAGTTGCTAACATTTGTTTTGGTACAGCCTTGCAGAAGCAGTTACTAGCATATTGTTTCCCTTTCTGGGAGCCTTACTATTTCGACTATGCCCAAGATTCCGCTGAGCAGGAGGGTATTAATCAGCAGGGTCATCGTGGAGAAGGGAGGCAGGCACTGCACCTTCAGGGCGTCCCCTGTTTATCGACACAGTGTGCTCTGCAGCCTCCTTCCGCTCCGCTCTGAGCCATCCCTTTTACACCCTCAGCAGAGTCTATGAAAAAGGTACTGACACGGCGTTGCTGCACGTCTGGCCAGTGCATGCAACAAGGCTGCCCAGTATGTGCTCTGCTGGCTAACAGCGGGTTTTGTGAATCACAACATGTTGTTCAATAACAATCCTCCTAGCTTCCTTTTTCAAAGTTACATGCTCACAACTATGTCCAGTTTGTAATTCTTTGTCATTAATTTGGTACCAGTCAATTCTTTTCCTTCCAGTAGCTACGAGTGGAATCCATACACATTCCAATCGGAAAAACACACAAAGCATATATACAAGCAACTTTCACACACATAGAATACCAAACAATTAAAAACATAAGAACAGTTTATATATCAATATTAAATCTTCTATTACGAATCTTGTGAGCCATTCTCTTCATCTGGCGTCTCTGTCATCTCTGCTTGTTCTGTTAAATCTTGGATCTCCCTATCTCTATCTGTAGTTTCAAAAGTCCTAGCTGGTCTTACATTTCCTGTCGGCAACAAACGGTTTGCTTCAGGTATATATGGTTTTACCCACTTTGCCAGAACCCACAGTGGTCCATTTCCTGCAAGTAAACACATATATCCCCTGCCTGTTACTTTTAATTCTACTGGTCCTTCCCATTTCCCTGTTTTTAAATCTTTATAGAGTACTAGGCCTTGTGTTTTTTCTTTCCAGAATGAGCTCATTCCTTTACTGTGTACCAGCATAGGCGGCTCATCACTGTTTCCTGCCAGCTGTAAAAAGTTCAGGACGTACAATGCTTTCACTAATCGATCGCCGGGCAGCCAACCCTGAGTTCCCCCTTTTTGTTTTAACAACATGGTCTTTAACGTGTGGTGGGAGCGCTCAATGATGGCTTGACCAGTGGGGGAATGCGGTATCCCGGTGTGGTGAGTGATACCCCAGCGATTGCAAAAACGAGCAAAGCGAAGTGAAGCATAAGCGAGTCTGTTATCTGTCTTAATTTCACGTGGAACCCCTAAAACTGCAAAGCAGGCATATAAATGCCGCTTGACATGTCACGTGGTCTCTCCAGTTTGTGCGGTGGCCCAAATTGCCATAGAATAGGTGTCTATACAGACATGCACGTATCTCCAACACCCAAACTCTGTTACATGAGTAACATCCATCTGCCATAGCTGGAGCGCATGCAGTCCTCGTGGATTGATACCTTGACCGAGACCAAAACCTAGTTTCTGACAGGAAGCACAGGACTTTACTATGCCTTGTGCATCCACTAAGGGGATATGAAATTGTCTCTGGAGCCCCTTGGCTGACTGGTGGAAAAAGTCATGAGATATATGAGCCTGTTGGAAAGCATCTATAGGTGGTCCCATCCATGCAGGTGCCACTAATTGATCAGCACGGTTATTGCCAATTGCTAAGCCCTGTTGAGTTAGATGACTACGTATATGCATGATAAAGTATGGAACAGAGCGCATATTTAGTAAGTGTAACAGCTGACCTAACAATTTGCTTAAGACTGGGTTAGATATTGCCTTTATCATAGCCTGTTCTAATCGACGTACTATACCTACCACATATAATGAATCTGAAACAATATTGATAGGTTGCTGAGTCCAGTTTGAAAATGTCCATACCACGGCTTGCAGTTTGAGAGTCTGTATTGAGTCCTTCCGGCCTCCTTCGATGACATGTTCCTCCCAGGCACCTGATAAAGATTGCCATGTACTAACAGCCTTTTTTGATTTCTGTCCTGCATCAGTGAATATTGTAAGTCCTTCTACAGGAACCTCTGACAATTGCGGAGTTGAAACAAAATCTTGGTCAGTTAAAAATGTTAACATTTTGTGAGCAGGAAATTGATTACATAGTCGACCTGAAAATTCACAGTGCCGTCTGTAATTCTAAAGAATGTTGTAAATTCCATTCCAGCCAGGCAGATGCGATTGGCAATACTATTATTTCTGGATCTTTCCCTGCTGTTTCTAATAGACGCGTCCGTCCCTTCATTATCAGAAGGGCAAACAATTCTATTCTTGTTGTAACAGTTTTGTGCGGTTGCATGGGTAGGAAAACCCATTCCAAAATTGATAAAGGGTCCTTTTTTGATTTGTCCCATTGCATAAAAAGAGCAAATGGATACTTTCTCTTTTGACTAGAATTGACAACTACTAATGTTATTGGTTCATCTTTGATGAACCTTGATCCATATTGAGAAGTTAATTTAGCTGAATTTAGCTATTTTTTGGGATGGTCCAATTTCTCTAGATTCATTTGCATGGCTGCTTGTCTCCAATAACTGAATTAGAGGACTTAGGTCATCATTTGTAGTTCCACAAATATTACGTATCCACTGAATTTCACCAACCAGCTTTTGTACATCCGACAATGTTTTAATGTTTGTTTTCAGTTCAATCTTTTGTGGTCTTATCTGGGATTCTGTGATAATCCATCCCAGATAATGCCACAGTGCCTTTTCTTGAACTTTCTCTGGAGCAATTTTTAGTCCCTTTCCTTCCAGCTGTGTAATAAGTTCAGGTATAAGCGTTTTGGCTTCAAGTTCTTCCCCAGCAATTAATATATCATCCATATAATGATATATTAAGTACTGTGGGTATCTTTTCCGAATTGGATCTAAGGTCCATGCAAGGAACATCTGGCATATTGCAGGTGAATTTTTCATGCCTTGCGGCAACACAACCCAATGATATCTTTTTGCTGGCTCGGCTCTATTTACAGCAGGTACCGTAAACACAAAACGTTCCGCATCAGCTGGATGTAATGGAATTGTGAAAAAACAATCTTTTAAGTCAATTACTAACAACTTCCACTTTTCTGGAATCATTAATGGGGACGGTAAACCTGGCTGTAAGGTTCCCATGTCCTCCATAATCGCATTGACTGCACATAGATCATGCAACAATCTCCACTTTCCGCTCTTTTTTGGTATTATGAAAATTGGAGTATTCCAGGGACTTGTTGATGGCACAATATGGCCTGCACACAACTGTTCGTATACTAATTCCTGTACTTTGAGCAGCTTTTCTTGGGAGAGCGGCCACTGATCAATCCACACTGGGTCGTTCATTTTCCAATGTATTTTGAGGATAGGCTGCTCCCCAGTGGCCGCAGCTAAAAAGGCTGGGTCACGATTTGCACTTTCATTTGGCTCAACAAGTCTCTACCAACCAACGTGATTGATGTATTCATGACATATGGCTTAGTAGATACTTGCGCCCCATCTGGAAAAATGAATGAAATCACATACTGGCTGATTCTGGTGGATTGAGTTTCCCCAATACCAAATACTCCTAATTGTGAATCGAGGGTCGGCCAATGGGCCAGCCAATTTTGTGTAGCTATGATTGTGACATCAGCACCTGGATCAATTAACATTTTCCTTGTTATTTTAACACCATCTGGCCCTAACATTGTTACCATCATTTCGGGTTTCATCCTTTTCAAATCCAAAGCAAAATATACCTCTGGTTGCCCAGTGGAGCCAAATCCTCCTTCTCCTCGTTCAACATCATCAGATAAAGGCACGCAGCTACGGAAAGGCACTAATTGAGCACTTTTACTGCCCTTTGGAATAAAATGGGTGGAGTTAACATGTAAACCATGATCTTAATAATCCCTGTGTAGTCTGCATCAATAACTCCTGGTAGAACAAAAATGCCTTAACGTGATGTAGATGAACAACCTACTAGTAAGCTGATAACCCCTCCCCTAGTGGTCCCTTTACGTTTGTGTCTATTACTACTACCTTGTCAGATACGAGTGTTGAATCTACTGCGGTTTCCACATCCACTCCGGCACTTCCTGCGGTGGTGGCACGGAGGGAACAAATTCCTGACTTTAGCTCTGGTTTAAATTCAGACTTGATAATGGTGTTGCCCCCTGATTTACTATCATCGCGCGCGGGGCTGGCGCGCTCGGTTTCCAGTTTCCCTGCACCCGGCACTCGTAGGTATTATGATTATCCATTTTGCAATTTTTGCACCATTTCCTGCTAACTTGTTGCTGCTGTTGTTGTGGCTGTTTACATTGGTTTCTGTAGTGGCCTTATTTCCCACAATTGAAGCATTTCTTTTGCTTGGCTCCTCACCCTTTTTTCTCTAACAGAGGATGAACAGCACCATATACCGCAGCAGCAACTAGAGATGCAGGACCAGTGGTGCGTTCTATAACTTCTAACATATCTGCCACTTGGGCATCTCTGGGTAATGTGCTTATGACCCTTTTTGCTTTATCATTGGCATTCTCAAAGGCAAACATTTTAAAGACTTGTTCCTTCATTGTGTCGTCTAAATCAGGATGACTTCGAACAGCCTGATGTTAACGATCAATAAAGGAAGGAAAACTTTCCTGGGGGCCTTGTTTAATATTTGCAAAGGAATATACTTTCCCTGGTTCTTTAATCGAAATCATTGCTTGGTAAGCTAATTGCTGTGACAACTGCAATACTTCTGCCAGAAAGCCTTGTTGTAATGTCGTGTTTGCAAAAGGACCTTGGCCCATCAGCATTTGCGTTTGAATGCCATATAGAGGGTCTCCCTGCTGCCGAGGTCGTGCAGCTTCACGGTCACATAGTTGCTGCCAGGACCTGGCAAAAGCTGCTGAGAAGGGGACAAAAGAATGTTAGCAACTTGTTGAGAGTCATGTGGTATCAGCACATCTGCTGTGAAAATAAATTGCAACAGTTGTTGAGTATAACCGGATTGAAGCCCATATTGTGATACTGCTGAACGCGCCTTTTCTAAAATTTTCCAGTCAAAAGGTTCCCACCTTCTATTTCCCCCATGGTCTGTGATAATGGGAAAGGCAGATGGCAAAAAATTTCCTTCGATTAAGGCTTCACGAATAACTCCCTTCCATCTTTTGCTTCTCTCTTGTTCGTCTGGTGGCACAAAGGGCGGTGGGGCAGTCAGCACAGATAGGTGTTGCATAGGCACCAGTGGTGACAAAGGCGTAACAAAAGGATTAGGTGTATTGCGGACTGTAGTATCTGAAGAATATTGTGGATTATTGTTGTCATCGGCATCTGATGTCTTCAACTCTGACAGCTTGTCCATAACCTGTTGCAACACTTCTTTAAAAAGTTCTTTTTTCTGTTGTTTTCCCAATGAAATCAGCGGGGGCAAAGATTCCTCCCCTAGGTGAAGCCCTGAACGGAGCCCAGGACAGAGCTGTTGGCGGGGCTTTGGGCGGAGCTGTTGGCGGAGCTGTGGGTAGGGCTCTGGACGGAGCTGTGGGCAGAGCTCTGGGCGGGGCTCTGGGCGGGGCTGTGTGAGGTCCGGATAGAGGCGGGACTTAGGTCGACAAGACGGTCCACCTATTTCAACACTCCTTTGTAGTTCTTCCGCCTTCTCTTCCGGGACCCTTTGTTGAGCAAACGTGCTGTCGCCATTTTGGCTGCCACTATCTTGGCATCTTGGCTGACGCCATTGTGGTGCAGTTCCTTTTTTAGGGGTGTGGTCCCTATAGGGTCCCTTTTTTCTCCTGAATCCGCGGTTTCTACCTTGGTAGCAGAAGGCAAGGGTGGTGCTAGAGGCACAGAAATTCGCGTAGAAAAGATAGAGGAAGTGTTCGTAGTTGTCAGTAAAGAATCAGTAGAAGGGACGAAGGCAGCAAAAGCAGCAGCAGCAACAGTTCGTTCGGCTTTCATGTTATGTAACGTTTCTTTAATTGACTTCCACAGGGTAGAGTAAAGAATCAGTAGAAGGGACGAAGGCAGCAAAAGCAGCAGCAGCAACAGTTCGTTCGGCTTTCATGTTATGTAACGTTTCTTTAATTGACTTCCACAGGGTAGCATATTTATTCGCCTCCTTCGCGCCCGCTCCCCCCGAGCTGATATCATCCCATAGCTCTCTGCCTATGGCTTCCCACGTAGAGAGTTCAAAAGCGACTCCTACCATGGGGATCAAGTCTCTGTTCCAAGCCCACAATAGCAACCCTTTAAGAGCCGAGGATTCATATTTAGATTTTCTCACAGAGAGCATATGTTGGAGCAGATTTAGGATAGCCTCTTGTTGCTTATCCAACCCCATCTGTCTCCCCGGCCGCTCACCTATCCTCCTAGGTGAGATTCCAGCATCGATCCAGCGACTAAAACGAGGTGCACCTTTTTCCACTCGGTGACTACGCAGGTCACTGCTCATTCCGCCAAGGCAGCGGATCATTCGGTCAGCCTTCCACCCTCTTCCTCGCCAAGTCTTGCAACTTTGCCGTGAGGAATCTGAAGGTCCCTACTCTGGGCGCCAATTGCGGGAGATGAGTGAGGACACCTGACACGATCAATGTGATCAAACAAGTGAACCTATCTATTTACATTCAGCGTGTTTAAAACCTTGCAAGCAAATAGCCCGCCTCTTAGTGTGATTGGTTGTACCGAAGGAAGCAGCGTCACTATAGTGTCCATTTCCTGTTCCGCATCCGGGGGTTGTCCACGCCCCCTCGAAGCTCTGCAGCTCTTCTGCATTCCAGCATACCTCATCAGGAAAGGCTGGATTGTTCACGTGTCCGTTAACCCTTAGATATCCTCCGACAGAAAACCTATCTAAATTATGTGGGTTTTATATTCTACTGATGGAAGGTATTTAAACCTAACAAAGATGCCACTTACTAGTTCATTATCCCTGCTCTTTTCTTAAACTTTAAAGATTTAACCTTTAACTTTCAACTTTCTGGATATTGCTGACTTTGTAGAACAAAAATTTGAGCTCCATTAGTCCTTTCTACATAAATATTAGAAAGAATACCATCAGGTACAACTAAACAATAAAGTCTTCCTCAGGAACAAAGATCCATAGCATCACAGCAATATATTTGTTGTATACAGTACATCATTCTTTACGCCAAATACTCAGATATTTACAGGGACAATAATGATTACCAATTTTAATTTTGCCAGTACCAAAGTGGAGGTCAAAGGTCTATATTTTGATCCTATGTCTTAGCTTTGTAAAGTGGACACGTTTAGTAATTAACTTAGTTACGACTCAGGTGCAAATTACTTCTGGAATTTAAGTGTGCATTAATTGTCCAACTTAGTCCTTTCTTAAAATCTCAGAAGGTATTTATATTCATATTTTGGCATCCAAATATTTTTACAAAGGCAATGCTCAGACACATGCTTAGAAGTTTATACTCTAATTTATTTACATCTTCAGTGATTAATGTGTATTTAAATGTTTTGCTGAATATTGATTTTACCATTTACTCAGCTGCTTTGTTGAACTGGGGTCGACTTGAAGAATTTTAACTATATGTTAAATCAAGTGGGCTTATTTATTTAGGTTCTGGACTTAAAAAGGTGTAAAATTGCTACTGCTACCTATATGTAGGTCCAGAGAAATTTCATTTGTTTTGCTACTGATGTCAGCAAGTAAATAAAAAAAAAATAAATGCAATTTTATCCATAGATTTTTTTTACCCTCATTTCACTGTGAACATGCCTAGGACCAAAGTAAACTCCCAGTAAGACTGAGAGAAACACTGGAAAATATTATGTTGGAAGTAAAACATTCCTGTCTCAGTGAAACTTCCATTTCTCAGTCTCTCAGACATATGAATTATCTCACATTAAAGTGGTGTATCTGCATTGATATGAGTTTGAATCTAAGTATCTACTGTCTATCTTTTTTTTTTTCAGTTCTGCCATTGTTTTTTTTCTTGGCATAGCCCATGCTATGCATTTTTTGTATACTTTTGAATATCCTTTTTTAAATTATTAGCTGGTTGTAAGCGTTTTACAATTACCTTTATTATGAAAGATGTCTTTATTATTCTGGATTAATATTGTCAGTAGCAGAAACACTAAAGTTTGCAATATTATATGTTGCTTGCATCCCAGAATCATAATTATGGTATAGCATAGAAGGCTTGCCACTTAGGTGGTCAGGTAATAAAAGCACTTTTGTCTGCAGTACAAAAGCTTAATTCTCTTCTGCATTTAAAAGAAAAATAATTCAGAAGCTTCATGCTCTTAATGGTTCTTCTGAATAAAAGTTAGTCATGCTGTTATTTAAAGCAATGAATTATTTTCTTGAAAAGGTTGTATCTGTCTGTTTGGTTAATGATAATAAATAACAGATAATAAACACATTGTCTGGTATTTTTTCAGTGCTTGGTATACACGCAACTGAGGTTTTTAACAATCAAATAACAGAATAAACAAAAAGAGCTCAAACCTCCCAAACAAAGCATAATAACAGGAATAATGTTGCTCTTCATATGGTATTTCTTTTTAAGGATTTCCAAACCACTGTGTGAACTTTGTCAATAACACTGGCATAAGGACTGGAACAACCACATCTGGTTTGCTGAAATCTAAGTATGCTACTGAACAGCATCTCTAATATTAATTTACCCTTTATGTAGCATAGCAGTAGTGGCTTGGTAGTGTTTGTTTGTGGAAATTTTTGGGAAAAATTTCTTTTTTTTTTTTTTGTGTTCAAATGGTATTTCTTGCCACTAGGAAAGCTTTTAACATTTTTAACTAACAGCACCTCTAACCTGAGGCCAGAACTGTTAAGTTCATCTTTGAGATCATAGAATCATAGAATTGTCTGGTTGGAACAGACCTTCAAGATCATCGAGTCCAACCATTCACCCTGCACTGTCAGGGTCCCTAAACCATGCTGCTCAACACCAAATCTACACGGTTTTTAAACACCTCCAGGGATGGGGACTCCAACACCTCCCTGGGCAGGCGGTTTCCAATACTTCACAACCCTCTCTGTAAAGAAATTTTTCCTCATATCTAATCTAAATTTCCCCTGGCGCAACTTGAGGCCATTCCCTCTCGTCCTGTCGTTCATAACATGGAAGACACTGACCCCCATCTCCCTACAACTTCCTTTCAGGTAATTGTAGAGAGTGATACGGTCCCCCCTGAGCCTCCTCTTCTCCAGACTAAACAGTCTCAGCTCCCTCAGCCACTCCTCATAGGACAAGTTCGCTAAACCCTTCACCAGCTTGGTTGCCCTTCTCTGAACCCGCTCCAGCACCCCAACGTCCTTCTTGAAGTGAGAGGCCCAAAACTGGACACAGTACTCAAGGTACGGCCTCACCAGTGCTGAGTATAGGGGGACAATCACTTCCCTGCTCCTGCTGGCCACAGTGTTTCTGATACATGCCAGGATTCCGTTGGCTTTCTTGGCTGCTTGGGCACACTGCTGGCTTATGTTCAATCGGCTGTCGACCAGCACCCCCAGATCCTTCTCTGCTGTGCCGACAAGGTGAAAATTATTTAAAGTACAGTATAAATCAGGCCTACTCACATTATAAATGAATTA